TTGGTGGTAGCCCAAAGACTTCAAATTGCTTGCTGTTATCATCAGACGCTATAAAAACGGGGAATTTGTCGCTCTCCAACAGAGCAGAATCCTGCTCACGTGCCGCCTTCCAGTAGCACACAGCTATCGATTCGGGCTGAATTCATTCTGAAGTAAGACTGACGTGAAGTATTGATGGCCTACAAAGCTCGTGTTCATTACAGAGAATACCTTATATTTCTAGTCATCGCTAATGAGAAAGACAAGGATCGCTAAGAAAGGATGAAGTAAAGTTAGCCTACCAAATCCGCGGACTATAAACTAATGAGTAGCACGAACCCTACAATGTTACAAAGTAAAGCATAAGTGAAAAAGTAACTACCTGAATATGTAGAGGTATGCTTGGAAATAACTTGTTGATCCATGGTCCAACAGTGAAAATCACTTTTTTGGTATGGTATTCCGCTTTTGATGACTTCAGGACAACTACGCTATCAGGTCGCTCGTGATATTCCAAAACCTCTTCATGTTCACCAGTTTCTCCACCGAGGTTTACATATTCTCTCTGAATAGAATGATTGGCTATCGTGTGCATGAAGTGTAACGCCTAAGGGTTATCAAAGTTATGAGCTGAAAAGGTACGGTAACTATTTTGGGCCAGCGCTACAATGCCTGGATGTGGGCAGTGGGCAGTTATGTAGTCCCGAGTCGCATTGCAAGCTAACAGAGTATTACCAGCTTGCCAACCTTATAGAATTCATTACATTGGCGGCGAACCAATCAGGTCCAGGTGCGGTTGCTGCGCAACACTGGGGCGTGTCAGCGTCGCTAGCTTCAGCACGACGCGAACCCTCTCTCGAGCAGCTGTGGAGGCCGATAGGCGACTATTATTGGTGGGAATCTAGCTGACATCATGCTCTCTGCTAAACGCCCTGTCATCCCACCCTGTAGACTTGTGCCCAGAGCGAGAAAGCACAAAAGGAACCGTTCACGATAACCCATGAAACTGCAAAAAATAGTGTGGGAAGGTAGTGTGGTCCGCAATGGACAACCCTGTGCCAGTTTCGCGGCGGAAAGTTGTACGGTAAAGGATTAAGGCGCAAAGTTGCTTCAGTGGTACATCCCTTTTTCCAGTGACTCCGCCTCCAGACTCCGCCTTCGAAAGTCTGCCTTCCAGCCAGAAGCGATGGTACTCGACAAATAGCATGAGCATGTGTGCTCTGCTGTCTCTTATAGGGTCATAGGGTCCATTACGAGGAACCATTTGACTGGATTTGTCCCAACAGGCAGCCTTTTCGCCTTTTACCCGCACAGTTTGCTTGAGGCTGAAAGAGCTCTACTGGAGGCCTTGACGACGTTCTCTGTCGCATTTTCTCTTCCCAGACGGGCCACTTGACCAATTCCCTTCTTCATTTCACCACCACCTTCGCTCCTTACCGAACTTTGATCGCTTCTCGACGCACTCCATTACATCTACGCTCTTTGAAGTGCTTATGAAAATGTGTTGAGCCCAAAGGTTCAAAGCATCCTTCTAGTAGACCAAAGCCACAAAAAAATACAGCGAGTAGAAAAATAGCAAAAAAAATCCATCTACCTGAAATGCCTGCAACCATTTGTTGGCATAAATGACACCTCCCATTGGGTCAATCAAGTCCAGACCAGTCGTTATTGAAGGCGAATTGAGGATAACGTTGAGCGATCTCAAATAAGCATAATGAACTGTCTTCATAGACAAACTGTACACTCACCTCCGAGGATGTTATCATTGCAACGTGGGAGGTGAATGGGTCCGCAACTACGCTACCGTCCCACCTTCAAGTACACGGTAAGGGCGTTGAAGAATAGCGATGCCCGAGAGCCGTCACCCGTCTTCTCGCGCTGCCGCACGACCAGCCACGCGTCTAACCATAGTCGAACGCGCTACTTGTCTGCGCACTCTCACTTCTGGTTGTTCTCTACCTCTGACTGCGTGTTCGCTGCGGAATTTCAGTAACGACGCAGTGCTGCACCTCGAAGATAGCGTGGCCGGAGTCGTGAGACGGCACTCGGGTATCACTACCCTTCAGCCCTATTTCCGCGCGCTCTCAAGTGACGTCGCTAAGTCGGACTGTCAGCTAGGAATCCACTGACTCCGCACATGGAAAGGATTGTCCTCAAAGGTGAAGGTACAGCTTGCCTCTGAGGACTGTTACGTTACTAGCTTTTGCCTACGAAGTTGAGTTTCATTTACCTGGGTTCCGCTGATCACCTCATGGTCCACGTTATGTCCCTTGCAATATCTTCGATATCGACGCTATTGAGGACTTTGAGCTGGCCCATAGAAGTCCAGTCTTCCTAAAATTGAAAAGATTCAGCTCTTTGGTCCCAGGACTTCTCAGAAAAGTCGAACAAAACTGGTAATCTAGCTGACTTGTAATACCCTGTGAAACGCATTCACAAGGCTATAAGCAGTTTGGAACATAGCATGAGACCCATTCGTCCCCTTATAATCCCCAGTCAACTTAAAGGCAGTTGGCACGATAAATCCCCCAAGACGACTAGGATCAATACTCCTGGCAGGATAGAATTCCGCGACCCTGGGCAGGCGCTGCATAGCGGTTTCCCCGAGGAAGGTGCCCTTATAAGGGCCCTATCAAGCCACAACATTACGTCCCAAACGCCCGCCACGCCCGCCCGCCCACAAATGGACGACCGTTCCTGACGCTCGTATTCATTCATTTGCTAAGCAAATTATGAAGCGAAGGGATTGGTATGAAGCGGCCGTGATGCTGCATGCATACATGGGTACACATATGCAGCCGTATCTTCGGTAGCGGTGATTGGTAAGATGCCTACGGGAAACTCGTCCGAAATCGATTTACAAGTCACTGAGAAC